TGATTCACTGCCTGTATTCTGCCATTCAAAACATCCATGGTATTGCACAGGCAGGGTCATTCACGGAGGCTGCAATGAGGAAGCGATATTTGCACCTTTAGCTGCCGCCTTCTCACCAAACCTTTCAGCTGCTGCCTCTGGTGCGGCACTTGCCTCCCTCTGGTCATGCTGACCTGAGAGAGGTTTGCTGGCAGAGGCAGCTCCCTGATGCTGCCATGCGACTACAGCCAGACACCTCCTGCTGACCATGTCCATCCTCACCCCAAGAGGGTTTGGCCAAGTGTAGTGCAGCCAGGCATCCCAGTGTCCCCCCCAGCACCATCCTGTACAGAGTGGAAGCACATCATTGGACTTCAATGCCAAACTGAGGGGCAGGTGGGAACTCAAAGTCCTTTCATTCTCTGTGCTCCAGCCTGTAATTTGCACATCATTCTTCAAAACTGTCATAAATTCTTTGCACTGCTGTTCCCACTTCCATTTTTCCTGCTGTCAGAAATCTGGAGCTCACACAGCCCAGGCTGCTTCTATATTTCTTTTATAGAGGGGCACATAGCCTGCTGTCTCTTTTCATTTCTCACGCTGCTGTCTATGCTTCCCTTTTTCCTGTTCCACCCACCTTTTTGTCCTTTACTCTTCCTCTCCTCCAGATTTTCTCCTGACAGATACATGCACTTGTATGGTTTCATGAGAATGGTCTGAGTGCACTGACTACATCTATCTCATCCTGCTAAATGCTTCCCAACGCGCAGATATTACTGCATGCAGAGCAGGGAAGTCTTCAGCACCTGGGAAGTACCATTTTTCCTGACCCAGGAACTGATACTGCTTGTGGCAGTTTGCTGGAGGCACTGGTAAGATCTGAGGCATGGAAAATTTACTCATGTTGGCTGGGATTCACAAACGTGTTGAGGCTAATAACGCACATGGCTTGTGTTGTGCTTTCCCTGAAGCTAAGTTGAGCAACACGTTAGTTGACAAGGCAGGCATTACTCAGAGCTCCTAAAACTTGTGTTTTGCCAGTGACAAAGTTGCAAACTTGTAGTACAACACTCCCGACATTTTCTGTGTAGTGTAATGGCCAAGCTCCAGCAGAGTTGTGCTCCATCCTCTTCATCTTACAGTTCTGCCTGGACTTTTTTCAAATCTAAGTCTTCAGCTGTCATGCACTCTTGCCAGCTATCCCATATGTCTAAATAACTAGGTGAACTATCTCTGGAAAATAATCTATCCGATGAATGTAGCCCTTTCTTCCTGTGAGTGAACTGTCTTCAAACTGTCTTTCAAATGTATTTTATGTGCAGTAGTATTATTTGTGCTTTGTCTAAGCATGTGCTAGCTGTGGATTCTCTGTGTACTCTTGGATATAACTGTGGTTTTAAGTACCCGCTGCTGGTTATTCATAGCACACATTTAGTCATTTAACAAACATGGTATTAGTTCTGCTCTCTAAGTGGATGACTAATACTCTTATAAATAGGAGGAATGTGATCTGAAAGGTCACGTGAATGTTCCCGGTGTGAACATATCCCCAAACTATGAGGCTTCTCATTCCAGGAGCATGCTTGCAAAAAAGAAAATGCTCATTATTAGGAGGAAGAAAAAGGGTTCAAAACCCATTCAAGCAATGTCTCTGCTTTAACTCAAAAAATTTGCAATTATTTGTTGAATTTTTCATTGCAAAAGTTTTCTGCAATGTTTGCTTTTCTCTGCAATCTCTCCTGACCTCCTTGGGAGCATAGGAATTGCCCTGTTGGAACAGATCTGATCCCTCTCCTGTGCCAGTGCTCTGCCTTGGAACATAACAGGACCTGAATGTTTCTTAAGTAGATATAAGAAACATCCTTTAACTTTCTTCCTAACCTCTTTCACATCCCATTGGAAAGCAAGACAATGCCTAACTGGATTCCAAAGGAAATGAGAAGAGCGCACAAGTTCAGGTTTCTGTGCTGCCTGTAAACTGATGGCTTTCCTCAGCTCGGTACCGTGGAGAGAAGATGCTGCGCTGCCCAGGCGGTGGAGGAGGAATGGGGGGTGCTGCCTCTGAGGTGGGGTCCTTGCTAATGCAGCCTCCTGGGAGGTCAGGCTTCTCTGTTAGAGAACGCAGGAGGTAAAATGCAGCAGATGAGCTATGCAGGCACCCTTGCCTTTCGATTTTATCAAATGAAAACAAAATCACTGAGTGCCACTGCTCTCCTGCCATTGCAAGCCTTGGTCTATATTCACAGGAATACAAGGCTAAAGAAGGGAGGCCCAGTGGCCTTGGGACATCCAGCTTAATTTTCTGTCTGTGCCACAGACTTGCCGAGGGTATATCTGTAGCATATGCTTAGCCCGTGTTTGAGCCCAGTCTATCTTCATGCACTGCCTGTTTGGGCAATTAAAGTCCTTGGCTGGCTTGTGGCACCCCTTTTGTCAAGTCTGAGGCTCTCCTTGGCTGGAGCAGCGAGGGGAGGGCCATCATGCTGGGCCTGGGGCAGGAGGGTCCTGTGGAGGCCACGTGCCAGGAGTAGGGCTGCTGCTGCTGCGACTGTGGTGCCAGCCCAGTGCGGCACATCTTCTGCTTGCTGCGGTGTGAAGTCAAAATGAAGCCCTTCCAGTGGAGAAACAGGCAACCACAGTATCATCTTCCCCCCTGTCTACAATTCAGGTACACCCAGGTGCTCACCTGGTGGGCTTTGGGCTGGTGGAGCAAAGCAGGCTGAGATGCTCCCGGGGGCAGGTTCAGCTCCGAGCTGGGTGGTGGTGCTGGTTGCATCAACACTTCTCCGCTCAGCCTCTTCAATGTCAGCTGTGATGGTTTAAGCCTCCTGTAGCCGAAGTTAGTTTGACTTTGCGCTGGAACAAAGTGGAGGAGAGGACTTGCACAGCTGGCTCAGACATGTGTCCTGATCAAAACAGAGACAGGTACATTGGGTCACTGGCCAAAGCCCAAGGCACACGCATGGCATGTGGCTATGTCTGTGGTAATTAACTGGGCAGGGGCAGGAGCTGCGCTCTGCTTTGTGGCTGACTAATGCTGTCTGGCCATGTGTGACAGGTAAACCCTCTCGCCCTCCAAAACCATGTGGACACATAAGACTACCTATTGGGAACAGTCCTGGTCCATGCTAACTGCTGGACTGTGCTTGGGAACGGTTTGGAAGAGCACTGGTTGGCCTGGGCCAAGACTGTACCTGTGACCGCAATAAGAGCTGGAGGGGTGGATGGTTGAGCATCCGAACTCGTGCCCTGATTCACTGGCTTGATTTTCTGCTCTAGATGCTGCCAGTCTGGCTGGTGTCAGGCAAGTTACCTAATGCATGATACAAGAAAGAGAAGACTCTTACAGCTTCATTTCTAGCCTTTATGCCCTCTCTCACATGGGGATAAGAGTGTGTCCTTACCTACTGGTGTAGTGAGACTACAAGAATTGGGAAAATGGGGTGTGGTACAGGTGAAAGTCCAAATTCACTGCAGTGGTTTATAGAAATTTTATTCAGTGAAGAATTGGGCCTATAGAATCATAGAATCACTTGATTGGAAAAGACCTTTAAGATCATCGAGCCCAACTGTACCTGTCCACTACTAAGCCATGTCTCTAAGCACCACATTTACACATCTTTTAAATACCTCCAGGGATGGGGACTCAACCACTTCCCTGGGCAGCCCCTTCCAGAGCCTGACAACCCTTTCAGTGAAGAAATGGTATACACATGCCTTAAAGATGGTATTCCCAGTTCACAGACCTATTATAATTTTGTCCATGCTTATTATACAGTTACAGAAATACTTTAGCATTAAAATATGTGGGCTAAAAGCAGCCAGTTGTGTCCTATATTCTCCCTCTGTCAGCCTTTGTCTTGACTTTATGTTGCAGATTAGAAAGGACAGCTGAGGATCTGGGTCTCCCCCAAGCAGACTATACACAGTCAAGAAGTGCCAGAGATTTGACAGACTCTACGTGATGTTTCTTTCTGAGCACATGACATGTTTCCTAACTTCAGCAGTCTCAGAGGTTTGATTTCAGTGGAAGATAGTATATATAAATGATACTCAATTGAGAAGTGCATATGCAGGACTTATGAAGCTCTGTGTGTGTGTCTGCATGTGCGTGCATTAAAATAACAGGGCAAAGGTGGCTGCACTGTATTATTTACCTGCTGGCTCAGATTTATCTGCCTGCCTTAGGGACTCCTGGCTCATGTCTCTCAGATTCTGTTCCTAGAGAAAATTTCGGTGTGAAGAACTGTGATTGAGGGTGTTCTCCTACGGCTAGCATTGGGGGGCGAGGGGGGTGAGTGGTACATTGAAGCTGAAATCAAATGTTCCACCCAGGTTATTTTAGGGGTGCCGACATTTGCTTGCTTGTGGGTGCATCTGATTTCTCCTCTCCCTTGGTCAGTAGCAGAAGTGTTTTTCTTATTGATGGCAAATAGGTGGTAGTGGTGGGGGCAGGTCTTGTTTGTGGCTACTGGCCAGCTGACAATGGAGAGTGATAAAAATGCATAAAAATTGGGAAGAAAGGAACGGATAGTGTAATTACACCTGATAAGGATCAGCACAACACTACATGTGCTATATACATATTTGAAACCTACACACATAAACACATAAAAGAAAATATTCAAGATGTGGAATGAGGTTCTTCCACAGAGCAGCCACAATTACATCAAGGAACAAAAAAGGATTTTATTATACTGTGGTGCTGGCAGCCAGAGCCTCCCCCCGACTGCGCCTGGGAAAAGAGTGTGTTAAGTGTGAGCAGAATAAATGATCGGTTCGTAACCAGCATGGCAGACACCTGCGTGGCACCTCACTGCAGCACCTTCCTGTGCCAGCTGGGTGTCAGGGGTGGGCATCGCAACCGGTCAAAAGCAAACCTAGTTACAGTAGATCTTCAGCAAGATCCTCAGGTGTTGGAAAAATGCACCTACGTGTTCCAGATAGATCTTTTTTCCAGCACTGTTCAAATCTTGCTCTCTATACTTGGACAAATGCAGACCTGGTTTTGCATTTTGCAGGGTGGTCACGCTTCCGAACAGGAGCCATTTTGCAAACGAGGAAGGAGCAGCACCTACCCTACTCCTGAGCTGCCAGCTCTCTCCTGGGGTTCAAGAAAACCAGAAGGCAAACCCCCAAAGCTTTCTCCTTTTCCACGGTGACATGACAGAACAAAATGGGATTTCCTTCGAAGCAGTAACAGGACAGGCTTTGCAGCATTCTTACAAGGGTGAATTTAGATGCCAGAGAGTGGAATTTCCAAATGCATTTCCCTTCCTACACCTTTTCTTTTTCATCTCCATAAATCTGTGTCAGTTTTTAAAGAACCTATTTTGGGGGAAGGGAGAGGAGACAGAACAAGTGATGAGCTATTCAGAGCTAGGAGAAGAGATTCATGCTGCCAGAGGTAAGATTGTAGAAAAATGTGTCAGTGTAGCAGATGATAGTTCTCCTCTCTTAATGCCTCTCCTGAAGCATCAAGGTATACGTGTTTCTCAAAGGGGCTGTATGTCTCAGAGGTAGTCTATGAACTGCGTGTTGAAACGGTTGCCATGGCAGTGACTGAGTGCACGTTAGAAAGCGTGATTAGCCAGAGTTGGCCTAAATTGCTGAAGGGAAGGAAAAAAGAGAGGAAAGAAAAAAAAAAAAAGGCCAAGGACTTTCTGTTATTTCTAATACAGATCCATCAGCATCAGACCGTGCTGGGGAGAGGAAGCGGCGCTGATGGAGAGGAGCGTGCGGGAGCACGCCCCATGCCCCAGCCCCAGCACACGCTGCCAGGGGACCCGCGCCCCCCTACAAGGTGCCATTAGTACAGACCAGTCCTGCTAGTGTCAATTCAGTGAAATGGTGCTTCTCCAGAGTCGGAGGTGAGGAGGCCAGGGCACCGCTCAGCTGCCAGTGACCCAGACAGGACGGTCACGGCGCTCGCCTGCCTGATGCCTGGCACGGCCGCATTAGAAAGTGAGGCTGGCCTGCAGAAGGGTTGCCAGGCTTGCCCCAAGTGACACAGAGGGCTGCTAGCCTGGGTGGGGTGTAAATAGGTGAACTCCCTGTCCCTAGAGCCATTCTGATTCTTCTAGCCCAACTAACCTATGTCTGCTTGAAGTGTACCTCGGAAAGGTATCCCATCTTCATTTGGAGCCTGAGAACTGGAGAACACAGCCCTTTTGGTTAATACATTGCAGTGGTTAATCACGCTTACTTGTTAAAAAAAATAATTGCACCTTATATCTGATCTAAGTGTGTACGGTACTAGCATTCAGCCTCTGGTGCATGCTGTGTTTTTCTCTGCTATATTTAAAAAAAAAAAAATCACTTCTTGAGATCCTGTAGATTTTTGCTGTGAAGGTTTCTTATGCACTATAGTCACTTTTGAGCTTGTTTTGAAGAAGCAGAATTCTTTCTATCCAAGGGTTTTCTTTTAGCTCTTCTCAGGGAAAAGTGGAAGACTAGGAGACTAAGGTGACAATGTCTCAGTGCCAGGTCTGGATGGAAAAACGTCCTCTCTAGAAGCTGTAGAGTGCCACATTAGGGGGCCAGATGCCCAGTGTAAAATCAACAGAAGAGATTAATTCAAGCTGAGAGTATGCAGGTAGGTGTTTGCAGGAGCAGAGCCTGTTAGCCTGATTGTCTTCTCTCATAGCTTTCTAAAATACAGAAGTTTAATTTACATTAGCCTGGAGTGCTTCTGCTTCCTAGTCCTTTGAGTGAAGTAAGATATGAATCTACTCGGGCCAATCCATAACATTTGACCACTTACCAAGGATATTTTTCTCCCCTCCTGTCCTAAGGGACCTGTAGGTTCCTCCTTTAGGAGGAGTACAAACCAGCAGTATGTACATGTGGTTAATGGGCGTCTTTTTTGGCTAGCAGAGCTGGGGCAAGAGAGATCATATGGCCTGCACTTTAGGAGGAAGAAAAGAAAAGCCCACAAGACACCTATTTGCCCTGCATATCAGGTTGGCTTTTGCCATTATTTGCAGGAGTCTCTTCCACTACTTGCACCTCCTAAATCCCTGTCATCCAGGTTTGAGAGCTGGGACTATCTTCTTTGGCACCAAGTCAACAATTCGTTTTTTAGCACCAGCAGCTACTCATATTTTACATTAGTGTTCTTCTCTGTTCCTTTCAAGCAATAATCATAAATATCAGCTTTCATTCCTAGAGCACCTTTCATCCCAGGGGCTCCCAAAGCACTTTCCAAGCTTAACAAGCTTATTGTAGCGTACTCCTTTAGAAAGGGTGAAACTCGCTTCCCATTAAAGCCTGATTTGGGGAAGAAAAACCCCAAATTATAACGTCTTCAATACACAAGGGAGCCTTTGCAGCTGTTATTTACTGTACATGTTCCCTTACCAAAAAGATTGTTTCTTGCTCTTACATCCCCCCCATCTCCCCCAGCTTAATCCAGCAGTGCTCAGTTACCCTGGGGGAGGAGTGCAAGTAATGAGAGATGATTGTCCCCTGTGATCTGAGGAAGTGCTTTTCTTCTGGAATCCTATTGCTGCCCTCAACAGTTTCTTTTGGCAACTCCATTTCCATCCAGTCTGTTTTCTCTTTATCGGGGCAAATGTCCTAGCGCAGAGTTGAATCTCCCATGGCTTTAGCCAGCAAAGTCACCAGCCACGGTTGGGCTGTGCTAAGGACCATGCAAGAGACTCTAGTCCTCTTCAGGACAAAGTCAGCTGGCCTAATCTAAGTCACATTCCTCTGCAATCAAAGCAAAACTGGTTGCTTTGCACTGAAATGAATCATGACCTTTCAAATGGTCCTTTAGTTGGCTCATCTGTGAAAGTACTAAGCCTAGAAGGGAAGATTGCTGCTGGTAATTTCTGAATGGAAGAATTTGTTTCCTAATAAATCATATGGTCAGTTTTAGGGCAGCTCGAATCTGATCAGTGTCAATTTGCTTTCATTGGTTTCAGGAGGACTCAGTATGGTGGGACCTATCCATCTCACGATGCACAGAGCTTTCTTCCATGCTGGCTGTGTGGAAAAGTGGTCTCTCCTCTGGCCCAGATGAGGCACGCAAACTCCCGTTGCTTCTCCAAGGACACACCAAGAGCCTGTGGTAGAAGGGGGAACAAAAGCCCTATCTCTGGTTCAGTGCTTCCACCACGCAAACATAATTTATCAATATAGATAGCTTTAGATGAAAGATACATCAAAGCATGTTTTTGGCTGCTGCCTTCAGAGGTAGTGCTAAATTTCCTGGGGGAATGCAAGCAGTGAGATATGATCCAAGTATCAAAATCCCCATCTTACTCTCCCTCCTCCTCGCTCACACTGGTCAGGTTCACAGGGAAGCCCTTCCTTGGGGTTGTTATGTCATCTGTTCCCATCACTAGATTTTGGTTCAGAAATGCATTTTTGTTCTTTTCCAACAAAACACTGCCTATTCCAACACCAACTCTGAAGATCTGTAAATTGGCAAACGATCCACAAAGAATAATGAACCAGCAGTTAGTGTTTACATTGGCCACCTTGTGTAAGTGCCGATATTAGCACTTCTGAAAGGATTCATTCACCCCTGAAAAAAGGTTTGTACCTGTGAATAAAAGCTTGCTTGGGAGGGCCTTTGTGCCACCTTTCCTCTACAAACAAAACTTAAAAACATCTAGAGATGGTTTTGCAATGGATATTAATGCATACCTATTATTTCAAGATGCAAATAAGCCACTGAAAATATTCCATGCCTATTTGTGATGGTGTAATGAGAGCAGCAGTAAATGTAAAGAAAAATCATATTTCATTTAATGTGTCTTATTTGTGTATTTATTTATTTAGAGACCCGAATATATATATTGAAAGTGGTGCTCTCGGCCTTTTTTTTTAAAACTAACATCCTGCGATATAGCGATTAGTTCTCATGTCATGGAAAATCAAGTAGACCTGCACTAGAAAGAACAATGGCTGTTGAGAACATTTTGCCCTTTCCAGGCAATGACTTCTTCTGGGGATGTCAGCGAAATAAACTTTTATGAAGTACCCTTAAGGCTTCCTTACCTCCTGCTCTTTGTCACACTTGTTGCAATTTGCCTTAAATTAATTGCCTTCACACTGAGGTACGTGATGCTGTTTTGCTTAAAAAATGAGGCTTGTGTGTTCTGCACTGGCCCAGTGGGCCTGCCACGAGCCAGGAGCTCAGAGGTGGAACAGGTCCTCTGCACGGCCAGCAGCCAGCGTTTGTTCCATCCTCGTACTGCAGGTCTGGGGTCTCTCAGCAATGGAGGACACATAGCAACAGCGTTTGTGTGGGAGACAAAATCGTTCGGTCTCTGCAGGATGCCTGCATTTTGACTAGGATTCCTTGTGATTCTGTAGGACAAAGATCAAACTTTTTCAGGTGCATTGTAGCCTCTAGTATACCATTTTTCTTTTAACCTTTTGACTGCTTCACTTTTAGGCTGGAAGCAGCTGAGGGCTAGGGCTCCTCCTGGGCAGACATGCAGCTCACGGCACAGTAGAGCTTCAGTTCTGGCAGGAGACTTAGGCCATTGCTGTAATCCAAATGCATATTTAAAAAAAAAAAAAAAAACATCTGGAAGCTAACCTGCTTGCAAGAGCCCCTTTCATGTGGAAGATGATGCTTTGCAAGCACTATGTTTATAAAGCAGAGGAAGAAAGCAAGCGTGAATGAAATGAGAGACCAAGGACCAGCCTTCTGTGGGAAGTCCTCTTGGAGGAGTGCCAGTCTCTGAGCCTTCCCCAGTGGAGTTTCTTCTTGACCCTTTAAATTGTTGGGCAGGGGCAGCTGGGCCGATGGCTGATGAGGAACCCTGAGGGTCATCCCCCCACTCAGTGAGGTAACACTCTGCCTCTCAGGGGCCATGATTTGAGCATGCAGTTCTGTTGCACAGAGGGAGCAGGAATAACACTAGGAATCTCTAATGGGGTGAGTGGGTACCTAAAAGGCCAACAGTGCACGTAAGGGATTTGTGGTCAGAGAAGAGATGCCTGCTCTGCAACAGGCAAACACTTCTCTGCACAGAACCAGGACAACTTCCTTTCAATCCAGGGCAGATTGCCAGCAGTTTCAAATGTAATCCTCATGGTATTACTTCAAAAGATGAAACAAGGGTATTACGGGCACTGCCACTGAGGCAGGTAATCTTTAAATATAGCTGCAAATTGTCTGGTTTAATGCTAACAAACCCTAATGGTGAGGAAGACAAGACAGGTAGCAGCACTGATACAGCATAATATAATGCGACGGCTGATATAAATGTGACTCATTCTAGCCAGAGGCTTAAGTATAGGAAATCAGATAAAAGATATAAAAACAAATCAGATTTTTTTTTCCTTCCCAGGGAAGGTCACCGCCAGGAATAGCATGGGAAATAATTAGTGGAAGAAAAAATGTTCCCCTTCAAATTAGAAGTATTGTCTTGCTTCAGTTTTGTTCTCCTCTTTGGGCTCCTGTAACAAACACCAGCAAACATCCAGGGCCTTTCTCCCTGAAGCCACTGATGGATATCCCACTCAGTGGGTAGTGAATGCGAGGGATGGGTGGTGCAATGCTCCGGGTGCCTGTTAATGGGTGTCTGCCTCGCTGGCATTCCACCCACCACCAACGCGCTGAATGGGCCTGGGAGACTGAATGGGGCTCTACGCAACGGCGGCCAATTCTCCTGGTCAACACGGAGGCGCAGCGCCAAGGCTGTGTGTGAGAACCCATGCAGCCCTGCTGCTGAGGAACGGGGCGTCACCCCTCTGCCTCTGCTCCGGAGCCCTGTGACCAGCCCTGGACTGACACACGTGCAAGGGGAAGCCATGCAGCTGTGCCTGTGGTGCAGTGTGTGTGCAATGCTACCTGGGGCATGAGTGGTCCATGATGCAGCCCATCTGCTGCGCAGGAATGTGATGCTGCAATTTAATTCCCTTTCCTCAGAGTGCCCTTTGAGTGGGGATGGGTGAGGAGAGGAGCAAGTGCCTCTGCTTCATGTCATCCCCCTGCAGGCTGGAAGCCAGCCAGCTGCGGGGGACCGAGGAACTGCTGCTCCCCGGGGCACTGGTTTGTTTTCTCCCAGGGCAGCTGTAGCAGAGAGGAGGGCTGGTGGGAGGCTCTGAGCTTCGCGCTCCCAACTAAAATCTCCTGCACGTGGCTGTGTCCCTTCTGCTGTGAAGGACTGGTCATGTTTTCCATTCTTGACCCCATCTGGCTTCTCTGAACATCCCAGGTTATCTGTGCACAGACCAGCTGCCTTTCCCACCGCTTGGCTCTTGACAGCTCACCAGGCCGTCATCGCTGCTTGGCACCCACATGCTGAGGTCATTAGGACAGTTAGCACAGTGTTAAGACATGTTCATTTTTAGAGTGCTTTTCTTTTGGGAACCAGGAGGCAGAGTTCAGATCCTCCCTCCCTCAGCAAGCTCCTGACTCTGCAGTGGACTTTCAGAGGTAGGAGCACTGCAGAAGTCCCGAGTACCCCACAGCTCCCATATAGCACAGGAAAAACCTATTACGGGAATGCTGCTAAGAGCAGAGGTAAGCTCTTACCCGTATTTTCCACTGTTGTTTCAGACTCTGGAGAATCAGCTTGTTTCGGCTGGGTTCCCAAACTGCTTTTTGGTGTTTATCCAAAACAAGCCTGTGCATTGAGGTTTCCTACCCCAAAACTGTCTAACCAAATGAAAGGAATGACCTCAGTTGCACAGATGCTCCTCCATCTAGTCCTACAACTAGAGAGGGGCCAGGACACAACCCCAGCTCGAGTCCCCTCTGCTCCCCCAAAAGGAGCCATTTAAGGATGTTGGAGCTCAGTCCAGATCTGACTTTCACAACTGACCACTCTCTGTGTAGCGAGCAAAATCCTAATGCAGAAAGCTTTAAGGCAGTTCAGAAATGTGGCTGTGCATAAAAGTTGGGCATTTGGCTGGTAGCGCTCACAATGCTGTTCAGTCTCGAGTATTTGGGGAACAAAGCCCAATCCCATAAGGATGATTGGTCACTTGCATGTCTTCATGACAACTTGAAGTTTGGCCCTTTCATTCTGCTTGCTTTCTCACTTTCCAAGACATGTGTGTTGCTCTTCCAGCCATCTCCTTATGGTCCTGAGATTTGGGGTCACACATTTTCTTACCTGGGGCTTTCACAGCTGCTGCTCCTTGCAGGGAGGTTGCAAGGGATGCTGAGTTGGGTGGGATGTCCTGTTGCTCTCAGGTTTATTTCTTTATAGCATCTCTACCAAGAAAGCCTGTAAGCCATATAATTCAAATACTTCTAGATCACCATAGTCTTGTCAAACTCAAATGTTATGACTCTTTTTGAATGTGGGGTATGTGAGCTGCTTTACCACAGCTGTTGTTCTCTTCTTCATGAAAAAAAAGTTATGTAATTCAAGCTTTTCCTTCTTCCTTCTCTTCTTTGCACTCAAATTTACTATATTTGCAGTTAGACTGTGCCTATGTTAGCAGCTGGTGTGGTGCAGTAGGAGCAGATCTGTAGAGGTGGCTGTTTGGTGCTGAGGACTTGATATGTCAGGGGGTTTACATCAGACTGCCTCTGTTCTGGTTCCCAGGGACCGGCTGCTCATTAGTGATTGGAGCACAGAAGGTGCGCTCCTTGAGTACATCTCCTGGTTTCCTTTCAGTCAAAGGGAATCCAGTGAAAAAAATTGCACCCTGACATAAATCAAAGCATGGCAAGTGGGACAAATGGGAGATTTGCCTCATAAACTCGCTCCTGATGCAAACAAAAATAGGCACATAGAAAGACCTGTCAAGAGACCAAGGTCAAGAGACCAAGCCCAGAGACGTCGGTTTACCCTGAGGTCCCACGTGGTTTGAGGTCACGGGGTCAGTTATTTGGCTGGTGAAACAGCTGTTTAGCTTGGCTGAGCAGCTCTCTTATTCTTTCTCAGATATAGCTGCTAATCTATTCTTCCCTTCTTGTACTCTCCTTCAACCTTCCCCTTTCCCAAACCCTCACTAAGCATATACATACATACATACATACATACATATATATATATATATAATATGTGTGTGCGTAGGCTGCCGGGATTTCCTCCCAGACAATACCTGTTGTGCTGGCCACAGCAGTTCTCTTGGTTCCCATGCTCAGAGCAGTTTGAGTTTCCTGCTGGCTCAGCAGCAAGACTTTCAGGGCTTTTTATACTTATTCTTCTTCGGGAGCCAAGCGGAGGAGTGCAGTTTGCCTGTGAATAGCAAGCTGGCTGGGCAGGCGGCAGGAAGCTTGCATACTAAACCGTGTGAACTTTGAGGAGGGGAGGAAGGGGGCTGCTGGCTGGGCTTTGCGAGGCGTTTGCTGCAGCCCTCTGCCATCATCTCAGCATAGGGATGCTCCTTGCCAAAGGAACAAGAATATCTGTAAGATGGGAGTGGAAAGAAGTGAGAGCGCTGAAAATGGCATTATAGAGGAAACAGGGGGAGGGCTTGGAGAGCAGAGAAGAGTGAAGAGGCTTGGGTTTTAGTTATTCACGTGAAAACTTGTGCAGGGGTTCCCTGCACAGAGCGATGCTGCAGCACCTCATATTGCCCTGCTGGGCTCCCTGGCCTACCTGCTCACCCCCTTGCTGCCCTGGCAGCAGCCGCACCAGCTTCTCTGGGTAGGGGCAGCTTTTCTGTATTGCCCAGGCAAAATCAAAAGCACAAAAATGAAAACACACTTCTCTTCCCCCCCTCCACTCACCCCTCTACTCCTTTCTGTTGCTGTCAGCAAAAATTAATAAATAAGCTGGTTCCCATTTACAAGG